CTTGCAGACGGCCAATTCTCTCACACCAGAAACGACTTGCAGTTTCTCAAGTCGCTCCTGACACGACAAAAAGAGTTGGAAGAGACCTCATGGGCCATCCAGTCCAACCCGCTGCCAAGAAGCAGAAAAATTGCATTCAAATACCCCGACAGATGGCCATCTAGCCTCTCTTTAAAAGCCTCCAAAGAAAGAGTCTCCACGACACTCTGGGGCAGAGAGTTCCCCTGCTGAACAGCTCTCACATTCAGGAAGTTCTTATAGAATCATAGAGTTGGAAGAAACTTCATGAGCCATCCAGTCCAACCCACTGCCAAGAAGCAGGAAAATTGCATTCAAAGCACCCCCAACAGATGGCCATCCAGTCTCTGTTTAAAAGCTTCCAAAGAAGTAGCCTCCACCACACTCCAGGACAGAGAGTTCCCCTGCTGAACAGCTCTCACATTCAGGAAGTTCCTATAGAATCATAGAGTTGGAAGAGACTTCATGAGCCATCCAGTCCAACCCACTGCCAAGAAGCAGGAAAATTGCATTCAAAGCACCCCCAACAGATGTCCATCCAGTCTCTGTTTAAAAGTCTCCTAAGAAGGAGTCTGCACCTCACTCCGGGGCAGAGAGTTCCCCTGCTGAACAGCTCTCACATTTTAATAAACAAGAGACGGGACTTAGAATCATAGAGTTGGAAGAGACCTCATGAGCCATCTAGTCCAACCCCATTCTGCCAAGAAGCAGGAATATTGCATTCAAAGCACCCCTGACAGATGGCCATCCAGCCTCTGTTTAAAAGCTTCAAAAGAAGGAATCTCCATCATACTCCAGGGCAGAGATTTCCCCTGCTGAACGGCTCTCACAGTCAGGAAGTTCTTCCTCATGTTCAGATGGAATCTCCTTTCTTGTAGTTTGAAGCCATTGTTCCATTGCGTCCTAGTCTCCAGGGCAGGAGAAAACAAGCTTGCTCCCTCCTCCCTGTGACTTCCTCTCACGTATTTATACATGGCTATCATGCCTCTCCTCAGCCTTCTCTTGTTCAGAACATGAACTTGGAAAAAAGGTGCCAAATTGGGAGAGCCAGTACTCCAGAGGACAGGAGCAGAATTCAAAACGATCTTCACAGATGAGAGATGGGTGAAAAATAACAAAATGAAGTTCAGCAGGGACAAATGCAAGATACTCCACTTTGGCAGGAAAAACGAAATGCAAAGATACAGAATGGGGGACAATGCCTGGCTCGAGAGCAGTACGTGTGAATAAGATCTTGGAGTCCTCGTGGACAACAAGTTAAACATAAGCCAACAATCTTGGCAAAAAAAGGCAATGGGATTTTGGCCTGCATCAATGGGAGCATAGTGTCTAGATCCAGGGAAGTAATGCTCCCCATGCTCTATTCCGCTTTGGTTAGACCACACCTGGAATATTGTGTCCAATTCTGGGCACCACAATTCAAGAGAGAGATTGACAAGCTGGCATGTGTCCAGAGGAGGGTGACTAAAATGATCAAGGGTCTGGAGAACAAGCCCTATGAGGAGCGGCATGTTTAGCCTGAAGAAGAGAAGGCTGAGAGGAGATATGATAGCCATGTATAAATATGTAAGAGGAAGCCACAGGGAGGAGGGAGCAAGCTTGTTTTCTGCTTCCCTGGAAACTAGAACGCGGAACAATGGCTTCAAACTACAAGAAAGGAGATTCTGTTTGAACATGAGGAAGAACTTCCTGACTGTGAGAGCCATTCAGCAGTGGAACTCTCTGCCCCGGAGTGTGGTGGAAGCTCCTTCTTTGGAGGTTTTTAAACAGAGCCTGGGTGCTTTGAATGCAATTTTTCTGCTTCTTGGCAGTGGGTTGGACTTAATGGCCAACTCTAGGATTCTATGATTCTGCTTTCTATAATATCTGATAGGTATTGTTTTGGGATGATTCCCCTTTAGTGCCCTTTGTTTCACTTTCTCCCTTTTCTTTCCTCCCCATCCTTTCTATAGGTCGTTAAAGTGGGCCTCATTGAAGACTCTCCTGCAGCTACAGGTATGGCACACCTCATTGTTGTCCCCTTGAACAAAGGCCAGTTATTGTCATTTGCTCCACATCCTTGAACAGGGTGATTTGCTTGGATAACATAGATTAGGATTGACACAACTTGACAACTAGTGTGCTATGGTTTTGTAAAACACTGGAGCTGAAAGGCATCAGGTGGTGATTTTCCAGCTCCTTGATGTGAAAGTCTTTCAAGTGTGCCTTGGAAAACTCCGCCCAAGGATAGCCTTGTCTCCTAATATATGCGCACCATTGATTCCATTTCTCTCCACCAATGAAACACCAGAAATATTGTATATACTTGAGTATAAGCTGACCCAAATATAAGCCAAGGCACCTAATTTTACACAAAAAACTTGGAAAACGTATTGACTTGAGTATAAGACGAGGGTGGGAAATGCAGTGACGACTGGTATATTTCAAAATAAAAATAGTGTTCTGTCGCGTGCTGGGCCTGTAAATAATTGTCTTTAGAACAGGATGTGCAACCTTTGCCCAGAGGGAAG